TCGCCTCACCATATAAACATGAACTTGTCATACGAGATTACTTTTTTTCTGGCACCTCAGGTTTATATGCAGATATCAGTTTATTGGTCCTTTTACTGGAAGAAGCATAATTGCAAAAAGAAAAAAATCCCTTGTTCTTGAAAAAGCAAACACAAAATATGAAGTATCTAATTGTAACACGTAAACACTGATGTAACCTGGATATAAACATTCCAGGAAGTTAAGGAAAATATATTGCAGTTTATGATGCAAAACATCATGAATTTCCTTGGACTCTTAGAAAAAGAATCTGAAAGAGTCAGCAATACTTTTAAATATATATATGGAAATTCTGTTTACTAGTAAAAATTGCATCGTAGGATTAGCAGCTTTACAGTACATTAGAGGGCTCCAAAAGAATGATACGGATCCCTCTAGCTAAATAATCAGAAAGACTGCCCTGAAGGTTTAAAAATCCAGAAAGAAATATCTTTGTATGCTTTAGACATGTGGTATTGGGCACAGCTAGGATCTTGCATTTCGTTCTGTCTCAGCCAAACATTCTCGTACCAGGCCCCTTGCATGGATAATTCCTAAGAAAAAACATAAACAGGCAAACCATGAACAAATTAATGCAGACATCAGCAATCAACCAAATACAACAACCAGCAGGAACCTGCAAGAATCCTTGAAAAGTGTGCTTTATGTAAAGTGAAAACTTTTTTTTTTTTTTTTAAATTTAAGATAAAGTAGAGGATAATTAAGCCCACTGTCACTTTTGTTCTGTCAGTTTTGCATCAGGGAGATTTCCCTTCACTTCCTGTCCAAGATACATAGCAGAAAGTAGCAAACATCTCCATGAGGAAATCCTCTCTTAAAAACGGAACTTCACTTTCTCAATCAACATGGACTATTTTTAATCTTTATGCTGCTAGCATTGCTAAATAGATAGGAAAGTATATCATATTTACTTGTTTTAAACTTTTTTTCTTACATTTCTTTAGCTACTTCCTTGTTTCCATGCCTAGGCAAATTATGTCATACAGTAACAGTTTTCAGGAGGGGAGGGAGAGTTCTTAGCTCAGCCTATGCCTGAGCTAAGGGCAGATGCGTTATAGGAAGTAAATGATACATGAATCATCTGCCCTTACTCAAGATGGCCATTGCCAGAAATGCTAAAGGGTGTTTTTCAAAGCGATTTCCCTTCCCGTCATCAATTTTCTCTTGGTGTTTGGAAAAACAGAAGTGATTCATGCTGATAGCAGAGGAATGAAGCAGCAGACAGAAATGACACTTAGTGCTCCTAATTGAGACAAGTACATACTATAAAAGGATGTGCTTTGTTCATATTTCATGCCAGAGTTTTACAACCACTTTAAGCAGGTGTGATGGAGACCACGTTTTTTTTTTTTTTTTTTTTTACACATTCCTACACATTGCATTTAGGGCAGCCCAGTAATTAAAACTTGCTGCCCTTCATATGCCGCTCCACTTCCTTAAACTGAACCTCTCCAAAACCGAGTTTCTTGTCTTCCCCCCAGCCCGGACACCACCCCCCATTGACTTTTCCATCACATCCAACAACGCCACCATCAAACCCGCCCCGCAGGCCAGAGTACTTGGTGTCATTATGGACTCCAACCTATCCTTCCAGCCCCAAGTCCAAAATACGCAACATCGCCAAAATACGCACGTTCCTAACCCCAGAAACCACTAAACAGCTCATTCACTCTCTCATCATATCACGACTCGATTACTGCAACTCCCTCCTCACTGGCCTGCCTCGCCGCTGGCTATCCCCGCTTCAGTTGATCCTGAATACGGCTGCCAGACTCATTCACCTTTCCAACCGCTCCGTTTACGCCGCCCCCCTCTGCCAATCCCTCCACTGGCTTCCGATTGCGCAACAGATCAAATTCAAAATCCTAACACTGACGTACAAAGCTGTCCACCATACTGCTCCAAACTACATCACTGACCTAATATCCAAGTACCGCCCAGCACACACACTCCGATCTTCACAAGACCTCCTTCTCTCTAGTTCCCTGGTCTCCTCCTCCCATGCCCGCCTCCAGGACTTCTCCAGGGTGTCACCCATCCTCTGGAACTCCCTGCCCCAACCCATCAGATTATCACCTACTCTCCTTTCCTTTAGGCGCACCCTGAAAACCCACCTCTTCAGGGAAGCCTACCCCACCCCCTGCTAACTTGCCGACCAACTCCACTCTTCCTACCACTCCATCCCCCACAGCTTTCTCCTCCTGTGCCACCATCCCCTCCCTTCTAGATTGTAAGCTCGAAAGAGTAGGGCCCTCGAATCCCTCATGTTTTGCATTGTATTGTATTGTTATTGTTCTGTCCCCCATTGTAATGTACAGCGCTGAGCGAAATATTGGCGCTTTATAAATACTGTATAATAATAATAATAATAATAATAATATGCAAAAGAAGAGAGTCTGACCTATTTTAAAAATTATGCTACACTGTAAACCATGGTACTGCACTTGTGAGTTAGCAAGATGAGTGGGGATACCTTTACAAATGAATGGCATCAATGCGCATCTGCAAAAGGGCAGCACATTTTGCGGTTTTACGGGAAAGCACACGATTTTGCACACATTCCCACAGTGCACAGGTGTGGGAACAGGTTTACCCATTATAACATTTCCCCTTCTGCTCCTGTGACAACTCAAAAATGCTGAATTCCGCATCACTCTCTGCATCAGTCACCAATTCAGATTGAGAGGGTGAATCCCCCAGCAGGTACACAGAAAATAGAGACTTCACAGACTTATAACCCTTCCACATTAAAGCCTGGTACACGCTACTAATTTTTTTTTTCTTTTGTTCAACCCAGTGGGCTGAACAAAAAAAAAAAACCTGACAGCTCAAGAGGAGCCATTGTACTAACTATCAGATGTTAGTACAGTGATCTCCCCTGCTGTGCTATTGACATCCCCCGATTCCCCCTCCCCCCGCCAGAAGATTCCGGCTAATGGATGATAGTGCTGACTGTGAGCCAATCGGCAGACCTTTTTCAGTCATGCCCTGGCTTCTGTCAGACCGAATGCCATACACACGGGCCAAATGTCGGCTGGTTTCTATTGAACCAGCTGATGCTGCGCGACATTTGGCCAGTTTTTACTAGGCTTATGGTGAAACTATACTCACCTCTGCTCCCCAACCAGTACAGACATATTCTATCTAGTTTTTTTCTGCACCCAGAATCTTCAGCCATCTTAACTGGTCAGTCTAGGATGACATAACACCCGCACATGCGTATGGGAGTTCATTCATCCTGGCACCCAGCAGAGACCATGATTGTACACTGAGCTGCTCAGCACAATGCACACACAAAAGAAGAATGTGAAGCCTTTACTGTAGAAAAGATGTGTCTGTTCTGAAGTAAAAAAAACTTCCTACAGCATTTTACTAAACAGCTATATTTCCACTTTAAATCCAAAATAAAAAAAAATTCTGGCTTTACATTCATTGAGGGGAATTTATCAAAACTGGAGCAGCTGTGCATGGTAACCAATCAACTTGTATCTTTAGGCTTGTTCAATTAGGCTTTGAAAATGAAAGATAGAAGCCGACTGGTTGCCATGCATAGCTACTCCAGATTGTGACTGCTCCTTTTTTCACCTCACTATATTTAAGCAATATCTAACTATTCATCAAAGGTGGAACAGCAGGAGTTGGAACATTCTGTTTCAGGGAGTTACAAAATCCAACTACTAAAAAAGGACAAAATGTTTACTGTTTTCATCTGATTTTCTGTGGCACGGAAGGTTTTTTTCAACTTATGCATTATTTATTTATTTATTTATTTATCGAGTTTATATATAGCGCCAAAGGGTTTGCTCAGCGCTGTACAATAGAGGGGGGACAATACATGAAACAGTACAGTAACATCAAACAGCACACAAGGGGTAAGAGGGCCCTACTCTTTCGAGCTTACAATCTAGGAGGGAGGGGGTAGAGGTACGGGAGGAAACGGCTGTGGGGGATGGAGTGGTAGGAGGAGGGAAGGGCAGCGGCTGTTAGGTGAGGGTGGGGTAGGCTTCCCTGAAGAGGTGGGTTTTCAGGGAGCGCCTGAAGGTGAGGAGGGAGGTGACAGTCTGATGGATTGGGGTAGTGAGTTCCAGAGGATGGGGGAGGACCTGGAGAAGTCTTGCAGTCGTGCGTGGGAGGGAGGAGACCAGGGAGCAAGATAGAAGGAGGTCCTGTGAAGAGCGAAGGGTACGGGTAGGGTGGTACTTGGGAATCAGGTCGGTGAGGTAGTTAGGGGCAGTGTTGTGAATGGCTTTGTAGGTCAGAGTGAGCAGTTTGAATTTAATGCGTTGGGCAATGGGGAGCCAGTGGAGGGAGAGGCAGAGGGGGGTGGCAGAGGTGGAGCGGCTGGTGAGGTGGATGAGTCTGGCAGCTGAGTTCAGGATGGTCTGAAGCGGGGAGAGTTTTGCACTGGGGTAGGCCGATGAGGAGGGAGTTGCAGTAGTCAAGGCGTGAGATAATTAGGGAGTGAACGAGTAGTTTAGTGGTGTCTGGGGTAAGGAAGGAGCGTATTTTGGCGATGTTGCGAAGGTGGAGCCTGCATGTATTTGTGAGTGATTTGACATGAGGTTGGAAGGAAAGGTTTGAGTCCAGAATGACGCCAAGGACCTTGGCTTGCTGGGCGGGATTGATGGTGGTGTTGTTGGTAGTGATGGAAAGGATGGGGGGGGGGGCACGGGAAGGGGGAAAGACGAGAAGCTCGGTTTTGGAGAGGTTGAGTTTGAGGAAATGGAGCGACATCCAGTCCAGTCAGAGATGTCGTTTAGGAGGTGAGTGATGCGGGCGGAGAATGTGGGGGTGAGGTGAGGGGGTGGATGCATTAAATGCATTAAGGTAAAAAAAACCTTTAGGCCGTAGAACCACATTAAATTACATGCATTTAGGGTTCCTTAGTCACAGCTTTTTTCTTTTTTAAAAAGCTGCATCCTTACTTTTTAACTAAAATAACAAGGTTCTTAATTATGATGTTATGTGAGGGAATTAAACACACCCTTACCTCTTTTTAGTCTCTCCATTGCGCTTTTACTGCCTGCATAGGTTGGTCTAATTTCTTTACCCAGCTCTTCTATAATGACAAGAAGCTCTGCATACTTGCTTTGCGGCACCTGATTGCTGGTTGTACTCTAAAAACAGTATAGAAAACACAAGGCAGTAATTACAAAACAAAGTCCCAAAACTGTAATTACTGTTAAAATATATGTAAATATATTTATTCATCATCCATTGAGGGACACACAAATTCAGAAACAGTCAGGTTATGCTACCACTTACAGGCCTGCATGCCTCAGTGGTTTTGCTAGTTTCTTAGGAGTTAGATGCTTTTTCTTCAGCTCTGTCTAGCCTTCTAACCTTGTAATATTTCTTCCTAAATGTCTAGATTCTTGCTACACCTCTGGCATTTATTATCCTCAGTGACTTCGATTAAGACTCTGATGCTTGAGCTGGTCTCTTCACTGCAGCTATACAGATGGAAAGGTTCTCTAGCTTTAAAGACCGTACCTGGACCCCATTGGAATAGACGTGTGGAGCTAGCCTGAAATGTGACTTTTGGGCACTGGGATGTTCATTGAGGTGCTCTGCAGACCTTAGTATTCTGTGTTAGCTACAGATCTCCTTCTGGTTCAAAAGCGTGGCACAGCCCCAGGTGTGACTGTGTCTCTGAAGAATCTCTAAGTAAGACCAATCACCCTGCACTAGGAGCTACCTCTCTATTGCACTGTAGGGTGCGCTGGTTTACCACACTAAGGATTAAGGTTGAGGGATCAAGCAAAATCAACCAATCATGTGGAATGCTCTGCTCTCCTTCCCACAATTCAGTCTGGAGGTATCATCCCACTGCTGCAATTCCTTGTAACACCATGTGAATCTCTGGTCAGTTTTCACTGCCCACCTACAGTGATTTTCTCCCCTCCAAATGCCCAAAACCCTCATCAACACCAGCTGCCTGGGTTTGTCAGTACCTGGGGCCTTACCTCACATTTGGCCTAGTTTTACAGTCACTGTGTGTCTTTGCAAAGATCCACACAGGAGAATCCCCCACAGGTGGCCTCAGCCTGTATTTCCCTTGTGGTTCTTGGGACGTTTACCCAGTATCCCCAAACAGAACAATGCCTGTAATCCAGAACCTGGGACCCCTATTGTCAAAGGATCACCCTCATCACAGTCTAAAGTGAGTGTAACTGAGGCCTTCCATATGTAGACTTGACTTTCTATCTGCTTCTGTTCAGATACAGGAGCATTCTGCCCACAGAGGTTCTACGTGCGCTCCAACACAATCCCCTGCAGAGTCTGGCTTTAACTACTTCAAGTCTGGACACTTTCACCCCCTTCAAGTCCAGTCCAATTTGAGTGACATTTACTCAGTCATGCAACACTGTACCCATATGAAATGTATATCCTTTTTTGAGACAGAAAGAGCTTTCTCTTGGTGGTATTTGATCACCACTGGGTTTTTTTTTTTTTGCTATATAAATTAAAAAATACTGAAAATTTTGAAAAAAAAAATAATTTGCTTCGTGTGTTATAAAATTTTGCAAATAAATTATTTTTCTTCATAAATTTAGGCCAAAATGTATTCTGCTACATTTGGGGGGTAAAAATAACCCAAAACCGTGTATATATTATTTAGTCTGCGTGAAAGCTATAGAGTCTACAAACTATGTGACATATTTTAGAAAATTGATCAATTGAGACCCTAAAATGCCGAACGCTGGTATGACATATGGCAATGATCAGAACGTTGGTATGGGTATAGCGGTGATCAGGACATTAGCATGAGGTATAGTGGTGATCAGGACGCTGGTATGGTGGTGATCAGGGTGTTGGTATGGGGTATGGCAGCGATTAGGGCATTTGTCTGGGGTATGGTGGTGTTCAGGACACTGGTATGGTGGTGATCAGGACATTGGTATGGCGTATGGGGGTGTTTTTGTGCTCACTGGGACAGGTGACAAGGGATGCCTGCATTATTTAATATAGATATTCTGCGGAAATGATCAGGGACACAGGGGCACTAGGGTGGCTGGCACTGCAGTTTGTGAGTGTACAAGCAGCCTGACAGGATTCTGTACACTTACAGGCTGCAGGATCATTTCTCTCTACGATCACACCGACACCAGAGAGAAGCGATCTTTACTTTAACTTTACAGTGTTTACAATGTGAGTGCTGTGATTGGTCACAGCAGTCTCATGGTAAAACACCATGTGATCGCCTGGACACTAGTAATGTAATCTGCTGTGTCCAGGCAATGAAGCGGTCGCCAGGCTCCTGGGTGCTTGCTCTATGAGCTGTTCAGGAGCTGCCAATGCGGGCTGACATACAAAGCTTCCCATCCGCTGTCTATGTGCAATGGGCGGATAGGAAGCGATTAAACTCCTGAGCTCAGGTTGGCCCCGCTACACTTGTTATTGTCCTTAATTCAGACTTAAGAGTCCCAGCAGCCTACCTCTGGTGAGACTGTTTCGAGGTCACTGCAATCTCCTGCAGCTAAATTACAGGGGGTTGTTTCAGATCTTAGAGATGCAGTTCATACCACCCTGCAGCTGCAGGATCAGCCTGCTTTTCCATGTCTTCCTTTTTGGGCTACATTCACACAGTCAAATAGCAGCGTCCGGGGTGCCCGCTACCAAGAATCAGAAGATGCTTGCCATCCATTGTAAATGCTGTCTGTGTACACCCTGCGGTAGATTTGCTAAAACTGGAGCACTAAGAATCTGTGCAGCTGTACATGGTAACCAATCAACTTCTAACTTCAGCTTGTTCAATTAACCTCTTGGCACCGGCCAAACGCAAATGTAAGGCCTCCCAGCGTCTCAGCCTTGACGCTGAGTGGCCGCACATTTGCGTGCAATTAAGAAAACGTGTACTGAGAGCGTGCGCCCTGCGCGCACCCAGCACACATGTCCAGTACTCACGGAAAGGTCCCGATCTCCTCTTTCAATCAGGACCTTTCCCGATCATGTGACCGTAGTACAGCGAATCACCCCGCCCCGCCTCCCGGCTTTTGAATCCCTTAAAGGGCCCGGGAAATGCCGGCGCCAAGGGGTTAAGCTTTGGTAATAAAACCTGGAAGCTGACTGGATTCTATGCAGAGTTGCACCAGATTTTGCACACTTCAGTTTTAGTAAATAAAGACCACTGTGTGCAACTAGCAGCAGCTGTAAGATTAGTACTCTGCAAATAAATGGCCAGTGCCACCACTGTTTGAGGTGAGCACTTACATGCAAACAGAGTAGCATTTGAACCCAAAACACACCCCTATGATAGGAAGAGTGGATTAGGCCGCCACACCCCTCCAATGAGAAATAGATCTCCGAGACCTGTCATATCTACATTCATTTGGAAGCTAATTTCATGCTGGACAATAATCTGCATGGTAGCAGACTATAAATGGTATGTATTCAGAAATATGAATACTTACAATAAACTGTATTTGAGACTTGGTCATAAATGTGGTGACCTCCCAGCACCCACCCCTTAAACCGGATGATCGGTCAGATGGTCTCTGTCAACATTCCCACTTGATGTCAGATAAAAAAGAAGATTGCAAGCAGATTTGACAGCTCTTGTTTAACACCAACCAAGGAAGACCTAACCGGACTTGAGAGAGCCACTGTACCTTTTTGCTTGATCAATTGCACTCTGCTAAAACCAACAACTTTGCAAGTATTCTTCATTTTCACTCCTTTTTAATTCTGTTGTTTTTTTGTCTATTTCCTTGTAACACCCTTTTTCAGTAAATATATTATTTATACCATTTTGACCTTTTTCATTATTAAATCATATTTGGAAAAGTGTTGAAATTGTCTCTAAGTCTTTTAATGCAAACTAAAGAATCCCTGTCTCTTGAAGATTGCTACTGTATATGACAAATATCTGAATATATCTTCCTGTGATGACAGTGTGTATACTCACGTTTATTTTTCATATTTGTTCTTGCGAAGATTGTGAGTTTCTGTCTTTTCAGTAAAAAAATGGTGGTGGTAGCTTAAATAGTTACAAAAATACCCCGAGGAAGTCACGAGTAGACGGTGATGTAACGCGTAGGTTCGCGAGTCCGCAGTTTCCGATGCGTGGTGACGCACTTCCAGCGTGCGATGCCATCTTGCTACACCTAGGAAGTCCCATACACATGCAGTGTACCCACACATCGGTGAGGAGGGAGGACTGCTAGGAATGTGAGTGTTATTCCTCAACTTTTTAAAAAAGGAGTCGTTTTTGAAGTACTACACTTAGAGGTCTTTCTTGACTCACTGGATTGGTGAGCCATTGTCCTTCAGAGATACCATGGTTGATCAGGGGAAATAGGAGCCCCAGAAGGAGATCCACTGAAGGAAGGAAGCTGCTGGCCTATATGAGTTAAGGATCCAGGGTGATCCTGCAAGCCTTTTGGCCCCTAGGGGTCACTGGGAGGAGGTGAGGAGGCAATCTAGCCGCCAATAGGAGAAGAGTTTGACACAATCACGAATTGGTCAATTACCACTACACATTGCATGATTGTGTTTATCACCAAAAGGACATTGCTTTGATTGATTTTTAAAGAGTGGACACTTTTTTGCACTGATTTGGCACTATAGCACTTCATTTTTATAAAGAGTTTATTATTAACTTAGTTATTTTTATATAGTACGTGTGTGAGCATGGTATTTAATTTTTAGACACTTGGTATACTTATTTAGAGTGTGAACACGTGTGTTCATTACGGAACACAGCTATTGATTATTAGTTTTTGACACTATTTATTTTTTCACTATTGCTTTAAAGTGTTTGATTGTATGAATTTTGATCATTTTTTAGAGTTGTATTATATGAATTGGTCACATCTTCTAGTATTTATTATGAGCGCTACACTATTTATTTTTGTATTTTACACTGTTTTAGGTATCAGTTGGTGAGTGTTGGCAGCTTTAAGCTAGGTTTTACTTCCATTTATAGCGCAGGAGGACCTTTGATCATTTAGCTTAAATAGTTAATTGCCTAATTAACTTGACCCAGTGACAATCGCTCTCAGGCTGCTGGCACCTAGACTGTGGTCTTGCAAGCTGCAAAATGCATAGCTGAGAGTGGCATTGTTACGCAGTGTGAGATTGGCCAGTCCTTTTTCACAAATTGGTGAGAAGGGCAGGGATCGGGCACTGCATTCATTACACTGCCAAAGACAGTGGACCACATGTCCACCCTAGCGCCTTAGCTTGGCATCCCCACTGCGGAATGTTCAGAGACCTCCTCAGAAAAAGGGTCTGTTTTCTGGGCTGCAGCAGTCTCAACCCTAGGGGCCTAGTGTCTGTATGCTTCAGCTGAATCAGGCTACTCAGTTGGTTAGTGTTTGTAGCTGTGGCTCACCATCAGGTAATGTTATTCAGATTAATGTGTACATAAACTCTACCAATAAATGTATTTTTTGCTCCCGTTTGCTCTGTTAAATGTACCATTGAAAGTGTTTTGTATCTCTAAGACAGAAATCTTGAGAGCTGATAGCATTGTTCCCTCCTATTTTTGTGGACTGAAAAACAGCTACCTCTGTTATGGACACAGAGGGAGATGTTATATATTCCTAACACAGTGTTATATAGGCCTAACCTTCCCCTTGTCCTAGGGTGACAACGGTACTGAGTGGTGGTCCCATCACTCCATTCTGTCTTTTTTGCTGGCCTTGTGTTCTGCTTTCTACAAAACTAAAGTATGTTGGGTAGAGGAGGGGTTATATGGTGTCTGGCTTATAATATTGCTCTTTGCCAGTGTCCCAACTTCCTGTTTCTTAATGCCTGTGTGTTCCTCAAAAGACTCAAAGAAAAAGATTTTACAATAATTTCAGCTCTTTTTTTTCTCATATATCCCATACTACTGTATAGGTGTATGACTTTTTCAGTATTGAAGCAGAGCTCTAGCAAAACAGAAACATATCAGAAAAATAGGTTACCTACCATTGCATGCATGGCTCTGCTGCAATTCCAGATCTCCCTCACCTGTTTGTAATCTGCCCTGTTTTTGAGAATCAAGGCCATCTCCCTTTTTCATGATCACCACGGTCTAAGCAGCACCCATTTAGATGCCAGTGGTTAGGGAATACATACCCTTGCAGCTCAAGTTACCATTAGATGCAATGCACACTTGCTCAGTACCCACCCAGATCTCTACTGTGCTATGAATAAGTGATGCCATTTAAGCTACAGACTGCTTATTACTGCTTCAGTACAAATCTAAAATGTGCTTTTGCAACCCCCCCATCAAGGTGGCACAATTGCAATTAAAAGTGGCATCTGATGTCACTGAGAAGTTACAGTACATACGTCAGACAGAGCAGAACGTGAGGAGAAATCCCTCCAACAGGAAAACAATAATAAAAACTAAAAAAATTGACCTTCCACATTCACTCTACAGCTTAAAAAAATAAATAAAAAATGTCCAGAGAATTAAAGTCCAGGCAGTGGACTTTCTTTCCACCTCTCTGCCAACATAGTCTCTAGTATGAACAGGGTGCTGGACACCACACTGCCTGGACTTTAATTCTCTGGACATTTTTTATTTATTTTTTTAAACTGTAGAGTGAATGTGGAAGGTCAATTTTTTTAGTTTTTATTATTGTTTTCCTGTTGGAGGGATTTCTCCTCACGTTCTGCTCTGTCTGACACCCCTCACCTAAACAGAAAATTAGAGCACTGACATCAATAAAAGCCTGAGAGAGGTTATATCCTTTCCCCCTTACTAAAAATAGTGTTTGCAGTGCCCTCATTAGAGAGATATGTCCTTCCTATTTCTGTCTGATATACAATATATCAAATAATCATAAAGTTAAGACAACTCACCCAACAAGGACTTTCATTAAATCCTGACAAAGGTTCTAATCCTTTCTCACACTAAAACTAGAAAAAAAGTATTGGCTGCAGTTGACTTTTTAGGGTTAATCACTTCTATTGTGGGAAATAACTTCCATGTAGACCAAGGGGGTTGGATAAAACACTGTAGGGCTAGTCTGCAGTGTAGCTTTATGTTTGACTAATGAGCAAGAATTGTTTTTCCTTAAGGCGATTTTATGTTTGGTGCCAAATATTTCAAGTCGTATATCCAGGTATTTTAGCTTCTTGAGGATTCAGTTAAAGACAGATTAAAATAGAATGTGATAGCTGTACTTACAAAGTTTCTAAATTGCTATTAGAATTGTTTAGCATTCATCTCTTGCATACAGCTTTGGCATAACCTTAAAGGTTCCAAAGAGCCGTGAAACCAAGGTGTTCAGTTATCTGTATCTAGAACCTGACAATAGGACAGCTACCGTGCCCAAGACTCTGCAGTTGTCTGATAAATGTGATGATCAGCCTCACTCACCAGAAGCAAGGTGGCAAAGGTGGGGAAGGGTTAGATTTATTAGGCTGGGGGTTGGCAACCCATGAAGGCTAAATGCTCTTCCTCCATACGCAGAGCTCCACGGGGAAGCAACATACCAATGACCAACGAACTCAGCCCTGCTGACTCCATGACACTGCTCTATGTAATACTGACATCTGGGCAATGCCCTACGAACTATTGGCACTGGCCAGAACTCAGACCAGACACAGGTCATATTTGAGGGCAACCAGGCCTGAATCTAGTCACATAAGGTAGCCTGCAGTATCATTTGTTCTGCCTCCATGAACTGGGTGACCAATTACTCTCCAGACATGACAGAAATTGTGAATACAAGTTAATTCTACATTTCTCACTGAAACTAACTTTTAAAGTTGGCTTTTAGGTAACTATTAAAAGGTACGTTTATGTTTTTATAAGTGACATCCTTCACTTTTTTCTTTTTTTTTTCTAGTTAATTGAGCGCTGCTTCTCAGTGTTCTTTGATCTCTTTCATGTTGTCCAGGTAGATATCCCTCTCTTAAAGGTTGCCTACCCATGCATTAGGCTATTGTTACTGACTGTTTCACATTTGTGGAGATTTTACCTCACTTCTTGTCTGGTGTTGTCATGGGCGGTTAGAGTAAATCTGTCCAACAGAAACACAGGCAGCAGTAAATACTGCAGAGGGTCAGCAAATATTGACAGAGGTTCTGACTTTTCTCAACTAAAGAATGTTTACAGTTTGTTTGCTGCTTCCCTTTTTTTTCTTAGAGATCTGGCCCCCCTTACTACCTGATATAGATGCAGACCTCTCCCCAGCAGAGCCACAGTGTGCAATAAAACCTGATGGTGGTTCTATACTTTTCCCACTCCATTAAAAACTGACATGCAAATGTTGCCTGTGGTTGCACTTTAGGGATTTTAAAGTGACTTCATTTCAGTATTACCTGAGTATATCCTAAGGATGGGGGTCCATAGTCATTCACCAGCTGTCTGTATTGTGCAGATGATGCTATGCTAGTAGAGGGTGAATGTGCACTTACAGCTGTTGAAAAAAAACATAAAAAAAAAACAGTTCAACAAAATGGTACATATGATGTAGAATGAATTAAATCAGTCTATTACATTATCACAATGAGCGATAGGGGTGGATTTACAATTAGACTGATCATACTGCAAGTGCAGTTCCACTCAATTTCCCTAGTAAATGTAAATGCGGTAAAGAATCACTTTGTATATAATATCCAATCAGGTGCAAGAAAAATAACAGCAGTTTTTTCTTGCACATGATTGGATGATGGAAATCAGCAAAGATTTACCACATTTACTACTATTTAGGGAAAATTAGTGCAACTGTACAGTTTATTTGCCTTTAGTAAATCAACACCATAATTTCCATGTAGTTTTTCAGTAAACAGCTTAGCAACTAGGTCTGCAGATATATCTAAGTTAAGTAAATGTCAATGGAAAACACAAGTTATTACCTGAAACTTCTGGAAACTTCTTTTCCAGGAATCCTCCAGGATGGTTTACTTGAGATGACTCCGCTCGCCTGCAGGAAACACAAGACCTAGAGAGTTTAAAAGCCCTCTAGTAGCTTCCAGCCTAAGTATAAGCAAGATGACTCCTTGGGGACAACAATAATATGACATAAACAATAAAGGGGGGGGGGGGGGGACTCACCATCCTGGAGGATTCCTAGAAAAAGAGTTTTTAGATAATAACTCATGTTTTCCCAAGGCATCCCCCAGGACGGTTGACTTGAGAGTATCTTTAGGGTAGGATTAATGCCTATAGCACCTTCCTTCCCAAAGCTTTGGTTTCATTGGAACTAAAACTTTAACCAAGATGTTGTATACAATTGCGTGACTACCACAGGTGACACCCACATGACAGGTAACAACTTGTGCTGCAATTAAACTTTGTCCCACATTGGAATAGAGATTGCTGATGACATGGATTCTTTATTGTTGCATGAGAAATTTCCTTTTTGACCATACCAAATGTATCAATGCAAATAATGTGATGAAACATGTCCTTCAAATAACAGAACCCTGAATCTATCTATCTATCTATATCTATCTATCTATCTATCTATCTATCTATGGGTCATACATGGGTCAATACAGAAAATGCAACTTGCATAGCTGGTGAGTAGGAAGATTGCAACCATTACACTGATTATAGGATGCCAGCCTTAGACAACAAAAAGATATACTTGCCATGTGGTGTAGGCCCTGAAACTATGAAGGTATTACGAGATGAGTGGTCAATAAGCCACAGATCAAGGAACCTCTAGCAGGCTTTGGAGGAACCCAATGGTTCCTCCAAAACCTGGTTGAGAATTGCTGCCTTAGACTAACAAAAAAACACCACAGCAACTGCTGAAGCATGAAGTGTACAAGGCTAGGAAATTAAATATAGACAAGTACTGTATAGATGTATGAATAGTTTATATTGATAAAACCACTGCTATAGCAACACACAAATAATAACAGTTAGTTACCTGGTAATTGAATTTCCAGGAATCTTCCAGGACAGGATATGAGAGTTGCTCTGCCCACCTGAAACAGGAAACACGTGATCTGCAATTATTAAAAAGCCAAAACCAGCTGGAATCCCCAGTAACAAACCAGAATTGAAGGCCACCAACAAGAATAAAACAATGTTCAAAATGTAAAACATCTACGAGCAGGAATACCCTGCTGTCCTGAAAGATTCCTGGAAACTTTAGTTTACCAGGTAACTAGCTCTGTTTTCCCAAATCATCTTCCAGGACAGTACATGAGATGACAAGAGAAAAATCATATACTTGAGTGAGACTGACAGCCTGCAGCACGTTTCTGCCAAAGGCTTTGTCCTTGATGCAGAGAAGGACCGCTTGGTAATGCCTCTGCATCTCCAGGGCCCAGTTCTGTTCCTTGAGCCACTGTCTGGCCAAAAATTTCACTCTTTGCAAAAGTTGCATACACATTTTTTCCTGGATGATCAGCCAATCTAAATCTTGTAGAGGGCATGGCTATTTGTAGGTTGTTCAGCGGCATCACTGCTGAATCCACAAAGAATAGTAGGTCATCCAAATGGGGATTTACTCTTGACATCATATATTTACATAGCTTTTCTGCACCTCCAACTATCTTCCACCTTCTCTGGTTGGACAATAATGTGGACATTGTTTTGCCTCATATTATTTTCCAAATCATCTCCCTTTGTTCATGTGAGGCGTAGAGCAGAGGTTTGAATCATGAGCTAGTGGCACCAGTCTATCCTCCACCTCACTCTCTCCTCTATGGCCATATTAAGTTTCCTGATCATTTGCAGATTTTGTTGCAGAAGTGTCTGATACACCCCGATCTGAATGTTATGATAACCTGCTGTAGTAATGCATTTAGTAATGGCAGCAATCACATCTTTCAAGTCAGCTCTGCTTCAGGGTTGGCAGGGTCAGCAGTCATCTGCTCGGAGACCTGTTCAGGGTCAAGTGGTCTCTGTGTTTCAGTATAATCTACGCTCACTGTGGCTCACTGTTGTTGCTGATCATCACATTCCTCCTGACTCTCCTGGGTATCTTCCTCACAGAAGGAGAATGAGGTTGCACAAGCCTTTCTTTAGCTGGGTTACGACTGGGCACCACCATGCTAAAGTTTGAATTTGCTGCTTCTTTACCCACCTTCTCAGTCTGTCTGATATCACATGGTCTACGACTGAGGCACCACCACTTTACAGCTCAGTTGAATTCACCAACCTTCGTAGCTTTCATGAGTCATTTTCTGTGAGATGGTGATGATCCTCGATCACTGTAGTCCTTACACTCACCGCCTTCCTTTCGATGTGAAAAAGAAAATTTACAGAGGGAAGCATAAATTGCAGGATTATGCTTGGGAACTCCATGAGGCACCTACGCCCACACACCTGTCCAGGCACCGCCCCTGGTATTACTCTGATTCTCTTGTGACTAAGTGCTTCTGTCTATTCACCTCTGTGAAAATACATGTGCAGAACAAACAGCCCAAGGGGAGAACAATACTGCAAATTAACAATCCCCTTTGATCCCTTGATAGCAAACCCTAGAAACCTCTGGGATGCCTCTCTGATGGCTATGTGAAAGTATGAGTCCTTGAGCTCCACTGTTGCTATATAAGCTTGCAGAGGAAAAAGATTTACGAGGGAAAATATTTACTCCATAGAGAATTTGCTTGTATTTTACTGTCTTATCCACTGTCTTCGAATTCAGAATAAACAGTGCTTCCCCCTTATTTTCCTCCCACCTGCAGCTTTTGAGTCATTGGGTTTTGGGAGTGGGCTGAGGAGGGTTTAAAAAGAAATCCTGGGATTCTGCGAATCTTGCTTTTTGAACCCTTTTTGTTTTGTAACGTGGGTTATAAAAAAAAATATTTTTTTTTCCCCTGTTTTTGGTAACCATTTTTACTAACCCAATAATCAGTCCAAGATGTTTCGAGAGGGGCCCAAACAGAAATTCACCACTTAAGAGCAACCTGTAAATTCTCGCTTTTGAAGACATTCCTGATTATGTCTTCAACCAGAGGGCTCTTCTAGAGGTGTTGATCAGAACTGTGGGATCCTCACTGATAATTTTACAGACCTTGCTGAAGCATCTACTATATACACCACTGCCACAGAATTTGCTTTCTTGGTGTGCTCGACTGAAGGTTGGAGGGCAGCTGATCAAGCCAACAAACAAAGGTTTAGGCCATGCAAATTCTTGTCAGGACTGGTTCAAAGTCCCATCCTTCTTGCCCATGGGACCTTTCACGTACCCATGTTTTGTTAAACAGAATTTTGAAAGTGGAGCATCTAGTTCTGGGAGGCCCAGACTTTTTTCATTTTCCTCTGCAAAGGGGAATCTTCATTTTAGTTTAAACAAAGAGAAGAACAGGGGTTTGAAGATGGGTCAGCCCATTCATTAGTAACAGTTTTTTTTTAAAGCCTGCAGCTTCTATTTTTCACACGCATAAGATGTGCATTGATCATCTAGTTTCATGGTGTCATTTGTTGCCCTGTACAACCTATATTACAGTAAATCTTTACATTTGTGTCAGAAGTTTCTATTTGTGTTCAAATATGAGGCATGCCGTATGGCATTGCACAGGTTAACTACCATTTCCTGTTAAAAAACTACATATCCCACAATCCTTGGGTCTCTGAGTCTAGTGCTTTGCAGGTGAGAGCTAAACAGTAATTACATCTGAAACAAACACAGACAAGCAAAGAAAATTTCAAGGCACGGGCTGGTTGCTGTATGACCCTGAACAAGAAGTTTCCTGTCCTTAGGGACAAACTAGGTTAATTAATACATGGACATAAGTGATTCAATCATCAGGCATGACACTACAAACTGCAACCGCAACATGTGAGCCCATCACTACAAAGGTAAGGCAAGAAAATAATACAGAGAATTTAACTACGCTATTACCTAGCTAAAACAACAAAAACATTTGAAAGTGTACAATGCTTCTAAAGTTTGGTGAATGGGAAATGTATGTCCTTTTTTGGACTGTAAGCCTTTGTAGAATTTGACATGAATAGAAAGCCTACTCCTCTTTAAAGCCAAGAGTACTGTGATTCTACACTACTGTGATTGGCTTTTAAAAGCTCCTGTGTATCTTCAGCTATCAACATAAATGTTTAAGGTTTAACCTCCACAAACTCTTATCTGCACTCTTGCCTTACAAAATTTTCCAAGGAGATAGCTCAGTCCTTAGGCTCCTCCGGGTCTTCTGCATTTTCACTAGTGGGGGATACCAAGGTTGTTGCACTAGACAGACCTGGAACAGAATTGGACCCTGGAGTTGCAGAGGCAAAGTCCTAAAGTAAGGAGTGAAATGACAAAATAGCGGTGGTCATTTCTTCACTCATTGAATTGAGGCATTTGAACAATCCAGTGGATTTATCATAACATGTTTGCCTATGCAATGTTGGCAGAGGGGTTTTGTCCAGAAATTTGGAAATTTCATGTTCCAGGAGACACATCTTTTATTTTCTTGACCCCAGTGGCACTATCAAGAGAGCTGTTGTCCTTGTGGAAGGAAAAAAAACTTGCTCCCAAAAAAACACTGCTATTAAGACTGCCAG